CTCGTTTTGAATTTTTCCTGGTGCCAGCTCGTGCCGAGCCATGTTCATGACCCGAGTAGGCAACTCTCAAGCGATCCGTGTTCTCCGAATACTGTTGATTGTACCGGCTAAGATTTTAGCGTTTTCTTTCGTGGGTATTTTTGTTATTCTCGCACCGTGATGATGCATCAAAGAATTGATGACAGATAAATAACACAACTTTTCGTCGAGACGCTTGTTCAGCGAGAAAAATAGTTTGTAAAATCCGAATCAGACTTAAACTAGAAACTGTCGGACCTCCCCGCTTTTTAGCTACTAAAATTCACTTTGTGTCTTTTTTCTTACTAGCATGTATTGGGTTGTTTCGAATTCTACCCTTTTTAACTTCGTGACCTCAACTCTTTTTTAGAATTATCTTTGCAATCGCAGTACATTTAGTGACAATCTACAAATTTTTGGCTATCTTACGCAGACTTAAAAATTATCACAGTAACAACGAAAAAGCTTCTACAGGCGCAAACAAGAACCATCTTCTTCAAGAAATCTCTACTTTGCGAAATAATAAGTTGATTTGGAATGTAGGAGAATTACACAAGTACTGCTCATTGTGTAGCCAATGGTCGGCTGAGCAGCAGTGCGAATCTAAATTATCAAGTTTTTTCGTAGAAATTTGTTGCAAAAATCCGTTATGACATACTAATTTTGGTCCTTCTGAGGTAGCAGAAAATGCACATTTTCAACATATTTTTTGTTCGCATCTGACAATTCGAGGAATCTTCTCGTTTTTCTGTTAATAATTTAATCTTCTGATCTTACTGTATAGAGCGAAGGTTTCGCGATTGCATTGTGTCCATAAATTTTATGCGACTCAAGGACCACAGCAATAAGTCATATTCACGCTAGTAATTTATTGGTTCAAATTTACCTATTTTAAAATCAAATCAAGTTAAGTATTTCGTAGCCGCAAGCAAACATAACATTTGCTTTGAAAGAAATTTTCCCTTCTGGCTGTAGATTTCACGGCAGTAAAGCAAACACGAAAATTTTCACATAAGTTTTGCTGTCGTAAGGTACGGAACCACAAAACGAACAAAGCGTTATGAAAATGAAAGGATGCATGAAAAACTAGAAGAAAAGAACTTTTGAACGATGAAAATATCATTGGTAAAAGGGTTTTTTCCTCCAGAATCAGAGTTCAAAGAGAGCTACATAAAACGGGTAAAACTTTTGAAACAACCCAGCATTATCGCGATTCAACAATAACTTTGCATCTCTGCGCTAGGCTTATTATCTAAGCTGTCATATACACTTTTTCTTAAAAAATCTTTAGCGATTACTGTTATATCTTCATGGCTCGATGTAATCAGATACTATTCTTGCCAGGAGAGCGTATGGATCGTGACCATAGCAACAACATGTAATAGAAACCCTTCCAGGAATAGCGATGTATCAGAAAAGCTAAGGTTTTACTTTCGGAGCTTCCGGGATCAAAACTAGTGAATAGTTAACGTGCTGAATACAAGTACTATGTTACGCTGTAGCATGATTCTGGTCCCACTTTGGCATTTATTTTCAATATATTTCTGTGAGATCAAGGTTACCATGATAGAAAGTTTCGACTTGAGCCGAGTCCACAAAAATTCTTGTGCATAATGTCTGAAGCCAAAACTAGTTTTTTTTCTAAAAATTATTATGTTTTAAAGAATCATATGAATTCCCTCTCTAGCTCACAAATTTGTGAAATTGACGAGGCTTGAAAATAACCACCGGCATGCCAAAATCAGCCGCTAGCCTTCCTCAACTCTCCCTATAAATGCAATTACATAACTCATCCATTAAAAAAGCCACCATAGATCCCGCAATATCGGTTATTACATCCAATCGAACGAAGCTTATGGGAAAATATTGGAGACTTATTACGTTTATGCTGCATGAAATGGCACTCACATGTATGTAGTGGTTTCTCAGTTATTTGCATTTGAAGACTGTAAGCCATGATCAGAGATGAGCAAGAGGTCAGTCACACATCGTGGGAGAATCACCCCCTCCCCCCTCCTGGAAGGTTCAAACGACCCCTTCTTAGTCCTCTTCGCTTCCAGAACCTCGTAAAATCTGGAGAAATCATCCCATCCTAAAGTTTTGAATTTTGGAATCTTACTCTCGTCTGTAACTGCACCTTTAGAGTACACGCGATGGTTTGATTGCTGCCATTGCTAGTAGTCTTATTCGGATACTAGTTATATAACACGTATAAAAATCTGAACTTTTTGAGAGTTGTTAAAAAGATGGGGAAAAAAGTACAATCACTACAAAGGTGTCATTATCTGCTGCAAAGAGATCACTGGGTTACTGTATCGTAACTTGAAACTTCGTTGAGCTATTTCTTCTGCGGTCTAAACAAAAAGTAGAAGATCGGAAGCAGACGTCTCCGAAGTGTCTTGATAATTAGTGTACTTGATGGAAAATCTTCCAGACGGCAGTTTTTGGATCCATCAGTATGGTATGCAGCTCGTCTGGCGTATTCACGGTCGTGTGCAGTCATGTCAATGATTGGATTTGTACTTGGATTAGGCAAGTAGATCTCCGTGTTTTGTTTTCATGTAAGAAGTGAACCTTCGTTGCAGGCGATCGACACGGAGAAAACATTTTGATCGATGTCACTGAGGGATGCGTTGTTCATGTCGATTTCAACCTGATTTTCCATAAAGGAGAATATTTACCAGTTCGAGAGGTAAGATCCATGGGAATACCTCGTTTTCCCTTGTCTTTAGGGGACTGAAGGAAGCGTTTGATCCTGATTATCCTTATCTTCTTGTCAGCTTACAGCTCCTTTTAATGATACTCAAGCTCAGGCATTCTTTTTTCAACATACGTCTCGGTTTACCGCTTCAAACTCACGATTTCACGATCTGTTCTAAATTTCCTACACGTTAAAATAGGTTTTTCACGGTGACCAGAGTAATATTTGAGACACTGTAAGATACTGTAATGATCTGAGTGTCAATCACCTTTCTGAATGCTGTCCCAGATAGAGAGAAAAAATCTTCACTTCCCGACGTATGTAAGCTAAGATATCACTAGTTCATTCTTACGGTGGTTTAAGATTAGTGTCAGCCCTTACTAGACATCTACGAAAATAAGCAACAGGACAAACATTGGATTTTTTTTTTGGAGCCGCTGTATAAATAGGACAGAATTCAGCAAGAGGTGGTGATTTGCTGTTGGTTCAGTGAGGCTGCAACTGGTTCGGTTCTAGATCTTGGGTAGTCTATTGGGTAGTACGAAAGTTCTGTTGCACCATTTTTAGAAAAAAACTGGTAACTTTCTCCTGCTCTCTGCTCTTTGCTCCAAAAAGGAAATCTTCAAAAGTTTGGTTCTGAGGCAAGCCCACTGAAAATCTAAAAATTGCGCGATTAAATCTTTTAAGTTGTCCCAAGAGTAAACTCCTTTTCGGAATAAATCGAAGTCTATTTATTAAGCTACAAGGCTTGACATATTGTTAGATAGAGAAAAGCAAGCTTTTCAATATGACATTCAGACATTTGCAAAAAGTTTTATCTACGTTCGAGTTCGAGGTCAAAGTCTTAAAAATTTCCAAAGCCAAAAAATTGAATTTTTGTCAAAACAATCCCACAAACCTCTAAATTCATTCATATGTAGTGGACGCAATGTCATGTACAAAAATGTACTTTTCGAATTTTTTTCCACGCTTAGAAATTAAGAAAAAACAATCGAAAAATGGTAAACTCCACCGTCATTAATGGCAGGCTTCTCCCACACATGTGGTTGTATACGTTAAAGCTTGGCGATCATAACCTTAAAAATTTTATCTCTTTACCTGGTCTGATGATCGAGATATATGAAATTTTGCATGAGAAATCCGAAAAAATTGAGTTTACTTGGGACAACCTAATAAAAACAGCCCAATGTCATAATCTTCTGTCCCCCTCTTTCTAACAAAGCAAGTTTGTTAATCGAACTTTTTTTGAAAAGATAATTCTCGAGAAATACCAGAAAACAGAAAAATTGATTTTTGGCAATTTTTCGAAGATAATTTTTCATAGAAATATCCGATCAGCACAGACTTGCTCACAATCAGTTAGAAAGAGGAGGTCAGACATCTATGACTGGCTATTCCAAATTTTGTTGCGCAGTTTTCAGATTTTTAGCGGGCTTGCCTCAAATCGTCAGACCATATCTCCTTTTCCCATTTATCTCTGCATTCAGAGCTTTATAAAGAGTAGGCAAGGTTTCATAAAAAATGCATGACCCTTTCTAATAATATCAATGCCAAGAGGATTTTGACAGGACATGTTACGAATTTTCGGAGACAGTGCGGCAGAACTTTCGAATCAACCTGAAATTCAATAGTCTTTTATTTTAAGAAGAAGCATAGGTCTTGTGTATAATCAGCTTGAGAGTAGTTTACGATGTGTTTCACAGTATTTTTCTGCCAGAGTGGTGACGGAAAGGCAATCATGGACGTTTTTGAAACTCTGCATAGATGCGTGACATGTAATAAGTTTTCTAGGTCGTACCTTTTCGGCTGACTCGAAACATGGTGAATGGTTTTGGACCGACAGGAGTCGAAGGCTCTTTCCGAAGGTCTTGTGAATCAACCTTGAGAGTGATGAGAGAAAATAAAGACACGCTATTGACTGTAAGTTCGTCTGCACTCCTCTACATATGGCGTTGATTTTCGTGAATGATACACAGGTTATTCAAACATTCGTTCACGATCCTTTGCTGGAATGGATCAACACGGAAGCCAGAGCGCAACAGAACAGAGGGGTAAGTGTCAGCGGTGCCTTTCGAGCCAGGCAGTCTGAACTCCCTGTCTGCCAGTGAAACAGGATAAAGCTCGAATTTTTAGCGTGGACAACAGAAAGTGAATGCCCCATCGACAGAAAGTGTGCAGCTAATTCTTAAACGGCTAGAAGGTCACATAGTCTCACCCGAGGTTAGTTTCGGCTCTGATTGAGAGTTCGCCGCAATCAAGACGTGTAGAAGAAGGGAACCGCCAGGCGCCGCTTCCGCGGACTTCTGGCCCTCAAACGGCATGTAGCACCATGTGCGAAAGGACCGGTAGGCCATGGAGGCGAAAATGGCGAACTCCGCTCATATACCCACCAAATTATTGCCTCTGGAACTTTGTGTGTTTGCCTGTTTGACTATCACGCGATACAGCTGTGCTTATGCAAACAATGCTTTGTGGAATGGCCATAAAACACCTTATGTTCAATAATTGGAGTCTTCAAAAGCTTTGTTCCAAATATTGCAACCATTTTGATAGTGAAGTACGACCATGCAGCTAAACTTGGGTGGTGCTTCATCCGCCTTCAGCTGTTTTTCTTTATTGTGAAGTTCAGTGAATTTCGGGCATACGAATTTGTTGCAAAAAAAAAACATTTTTTTTAATCATGCGAGCAATTCAGGTTTGCAGAGCCTATTTTAAGA